GCGGGGGGGGGGCCAGGGGTGGGACAGGGATGGGACAGGGATGGGACAGGGGTGGGACAGGGATGGGACAGGAGTGGGACAGGGGTGGGGATGGGGACAGGGATGGGACAGGAACGGGGACAAGAATTAGGATGAGGACAGGGATGGGAACAGGACGGGAACAGGAAGGGGGACAGGGACAGGGACAGGGACAGGACAGGGGTGGGGACAGGACAGGGGTGGGGACACCCATCCACAGCTCCCCAAGGGCTGCTTCCTGGCAAGGAGCTCTTGTGGAAGCACTGAAGTGGAGACAGGGATGGGGACTGAGATAGGGACAGGGGTGGTGACAGGAATGGGGACAGGGGTGGGGACAGGGACGGGAACACCCATCCACAGCTCCCCAAAGGCTGTTTCTGTGCTGGCACATCCCCAGTTCCCGGTCACAGGGCCCGGCGTGGGGACGGCCGCCCACACCTCACTGCCCATGGCCGAGCTGGCACACCGAGGTGGCTCTGCCTGTCCCTGCAGGTCACATCACGGCGGAGACGCTGATGTCCATCCTGCGGGACAAGGCCAGCGGGATCTGCGTGGACGCCGAGGGGTTCCGCACGGCCGGCAGCATGGTGTCCGTGCTGCCCCGCGACCCCGCCCTGCCCTGCGTCCACTTCTTCACCGCCACCCCTGACCCCTCCAGGTGGGGCCGAGGTGGGGACAGGGATGTGGCATTCCCGGGAATTCTGCTCTCTCACCCCAGCTTCTCCTCCAGGTCTGTCTTCAAGCCCTTCGTGTTCGTGGCCGGCATCAAGCCGGTGCCGCAGGTGAGATCCCCGACCTTCCTGCAGGATCCCGCCAAGCAGATCCCCAGATTCCGGAGCTCCGTGGATCGGCGGCACGAGCTGTACCGCCGGCACCAGGCAGCGCTGGAGCTCATGGAGCAGGACCCGGTACCGCAGAGCCCAGAGACCCCAGAGACCCCAGAGATCCCACAGGGCCCAGAGACCCCACAGACCCCACAGACCCCACAGAGCCCAGAGACCCCACAGAGGCCACAGAGGCCACAGACCCCACAGACCCCACAGACCCCACAGACCCCACAGAGCCCAGAGACCCCACAGACCCCACAGAGGCCACAGACCCCACAGA